GGACAGAATATATTTGCAGGCATTTAAAAATGCCTCTGATGTTCAGATGCCACTGGGAATGCTTATGAGAGAGAAAAGCAGCACACAAGTATATGCATCATACACTTATTATATGACTATAATATAATATGTATAACATGTATTTCTTTGCCAAGAAAATACATCCAAGAAGAACTAGAAAAAAAATACAACAGTATATTTGTAGGGTTTTAAGCTTACAGTTGATCTTTCTATCTTTATCATCTTTTCCCCCCAATACTACTTTTATCTCCCCAAGTGAATAGCTATAACATCCTTTTGTGGGAAGCCATTTAATGAGATGTTGTTTTATAAAACATATGAGTGACAGTGTATGAGATTTGCCCCTTAGGCGGGCCTCTGTGCTCATGTACCTTCTGCAGGACCCAGATTAGTCTGCTGTGGAGAAGCAGCAAGACATCGAATGGATGTGGACACAGATTTGCCATAAAGGGACAAGGGCAGGGAGGAAGGGGAAGCCCACACAATGAGGCTTCTGTTCCATCAGCCACCAGGGCCAGACCGTCCCATGGCCCACCAAACAGCAGCTGCAGCCCTCCTTGGGTACTGAAAACCAAACAAACTTTCATCACATTTTAGGGATGGCAGCAAAAATTAGTCACCCTGTGTTTATAAAATAGAAATCAGCTCTAACAGGGGCTCGATTACTGGAAACTAACTGGGGAGCTGCAAGGGTTTAGGAAGCACAGTACTTATTAACCGGTGATTAAGATATCTCACACAAAACAAACTCTATTGTAGCAAGGACAGAACTACTGCGTTGTTCTACGTGTTCTTAATCAATGGCAAATATTAGCCCAGCTGGGTCAAAGTGGGATTTCAAAAGTGGTAAATGTTTTCCATAACCTGATAGACGTTTTCCATGACTGTATAGGAGAGTGGAAGAAAAATAAATCATTAATTCCTTCAACAAATCTTTGCTGAATGTCTATTACACCTTAGAGACGTGTAAATGGAGAAGATGTAACACAGAATTAAATGCTAACCCTTGTCTGGGCCTCAATCAGTTGTGTGCCGGGGCTGACCACAGGCTCCCGAGAGCCAGTATTGCGATTCTCTACTTTCAGTGACCTCGTGTGGGTGTGTGGCGTGCACTCATCCACAGTGGGAGTATTTACACCGCAGGAATTGGCAAATGCTATGGCTCAGGGCTTCCCTCCCCCAGAGAGCCGGCTGTACAGTTCTCCCCAGCACACCACTGTCTACAGGGCCCAGTGAGGGGCTCCTGTCCACCTCACCCCTCCCACTGATCCCCAGCCACTCTCCTTTCTCCTGTGCACCAATCCCACTGGCCTTTCTTGAACCCACATTGACCTTCTTTCTGAGTGTTAACAGCCCCGTGCAACTACTATATACGTGTCTATTTGCACAGACTCAAGAGTCAGCTCCCTGCCTTCAAATCGCAACTCCTTCCCTTAACGACTTTTTATTTACTTCATCTCTCTGTGCCTATTTCAAAACCGAAGGCAGCAGAAGGACTTTTCTAAACATAGAAAAGTTGAAATACGCTCGTTCAGAGGAGTCTGCCTCCACTGAAGGTTGAAGCACACAAACTTGAGTTGGAGCACCCTGGTCAGGTTTCTGTGCGAGGCTTTTCTCATCCTCACCTTACATTTTAAAGAAAGGGTATCATCGACGCTGGGCTTTATCCACAATATAAAATTAATCCCATAATCTGGCCAACTTGAATTATTAGAACATCTGGATTAAAGCATACATTAAAAGCAATTTCTTTTAAACCTTCCAAGGACAAAATTCAATGCAATTACTAATGACATTTCCAAATACTACACAGACCGTTGAGCTTTAAAAGAGCTTTGGTTTTCTTAAATACAACAGCCCTTCGTATACCCTGAACAGAGAGAGAGATGGCAACTTCACCACTCCAGAGCAAAGCCATAACAAAAACTTCTCTGAGCAGCCAAAATTGGTGATTGCAAAGTTACAGTTTCACAGGCTCCGTGGGCTTCCAAACTTTTAAGTCTTTACCAAATGACACGTCAAAGAACAGTGCTTCACAGAGTCCTGAATTAGTGGCCGACATTTGGTTTTGTACCACCCACTCACCCCACCCCACACACCCAGTCCTCTCTCACATTACCATTTTGATTTCCTTAGTCCTTATGGGCTGGAATTCTCTTAATCTACTTATTTTTACCTTGCTGTGTGTCTCCCCCATTCAGGCTGTGTGCTCTGTGACAGCAGGGGCCGAAGCCATCACCCCATTCCCTGGCACGACAACTGGCTTAAATTCAGAGCTCTATAAATACCCACCAAGTGAACCAATGGACGTGTGAACGTAAATCTCCGCCGTGGAAGTGACAAGCCGCATTAAGAGCTCAGTCTTGGTGGCTGGGCTCCTTCTCCCTTCTGTGACAGCTGGGACCACCCTCTGCCCAGGCTGCCGAAGGCATTGCAGAGGACCTGCTGGGCCACGGCTTTAAGGTAGGCCCAAGATGAGGTGGGACAAGGAACCACTGTAGCTCCAGGCCTCTGGCCAGGGGAGACTTTTCCTCCTATTTCTTGATCTCATTCGCTTCCCCCCATTGCTCTTTCCCTCTTCTCTAGCGCCCGATGCTCCCTGTTTGGGTTTCTGTCTTCCTCCCTTGCTGCAGAGTGTTATTCTTTCTCACCCTCTCGCCTCCCCTCACTGGGGGGATGGGCACACTTATAACTTTGACTCAAACGGTACAAAAGCAATTTATGTAACCCAAACGCTTGTACCCCCCTAATACCCTAATATTCTGACATTTTAAAAAAGTAACAAAAAATAAAATAAAGATGAAACTCAGATTTAGCTCACTGGCAGTGACAGAGCAATCCAGGTCCCCAAGTCCCAAAATGGGACCAAAGTAACATCAATAAGTAACATCAATACTAAAGTAACATCAACGTGAGATCCAACTAGAACCTGCTGCAGTCGAGTGCTCAGAACAGGCTCTGGCAGCAGATATACAACTTATAATAGTTATTTCTCTTTTAGACATGGCACCAAAGGACTCGTCCAATGGCATTTGATCTCAAATTTAGCAAGAGCAAAATTCCCTCTCAATTATGTTATTTCTAGCCTAGCTCTAAACCTTCCCGAGTCTAGGACGCCCGTTCTTTCTGCACAAATAGAGAAAAAGCAAACAAATGGATGATGTAAAGCAAAGTATATTGCAACGAAAACCACCACTGTTAAGAGCTCAAAGTGATCTCATCAAAATAAAAGGGGGTAGGAGGGCAGAATAGGCTACTGCAAAGGAGAGCGAGTTTCCCATTTTCAATCAAATATGTTATTAACCTCAGTAATAATCATTATATGTGTATGTAATATATATTTATGTGTGTGTATATATACTATATAATATATAATAGAGAGTATATATGCATTCTCCTTATTTATTTATCCTTTTTAACCAGTAAAACATTCTTAGAAAAATCCTTATGTTTGTTTAGTCTACATCACAAACTGATAGTTCAAAATATTATTAACCATTAACTGCTATTTAATTTAATTGTGAAAATACTGTATTTCATTAAAGCAACCCTATATCACATTTCTGTCAAATCTCTCCTCCCTTTCAGTCTCTATAATGATCAGGCTCCCTAGATATGTATTGCGGGTATAAAACGGCTTATAAATAGTGTTATTCCATTAAACAAGTATTTATTAAAAATGCCTATTATGTGCAAAATTCTATGCAGAGAGCTGCTGGAAATGCCTACGTGCCAAGAGCAAAAGGAAAGTCTGTTTCCAGAAATATTAACATGTCACAGAAGGGGATACACACAACACCAGAAGATCAACCCATCACCTCCAAACCCATTTACATGTCTTCAAAAATGTTTTCCTTACTAGTTAGTTGACCCATATCCCACCCTAGGCACTACTATAAATTTCATCTTCCCGCAATTGATTCACTGTCTCATTTTATGCAGAAAGTTGTTTCATTGCTCAATTAAATGTCAACTTAATGTCGATGTACTGGAAAGGAATTTGTAAGAAAATAAAAGCTAGAAAATGAAAGAGATAATTAGTCTTGAAGGACGCTATTACAACTGATGACAATCACCACCCACACAAACATGCCCCACATACCGTAGCTGAAAGGGGATGCTTGTCTTTAATACAATGACAAAAATATATTTTGGTGCTCTTGTTCCTAGAGAGTTACCAGTTTCCACTTTCTTTGACAATAAAATTGTCAATGACCCCTTTCCCTTGTTTAATAGTTTTCTTCTTACTTCTTCATATTCAAATTTCAATGACCCCAATTGGAATTCCGATGAAGACATCTGAGTCATGCAAGTTTTGTTAACAGCAATGGGCGCAAATGGGCACTTTCAATATGGGCACAGTTGTGTTCACATTAGCAAGAATTCATTGCCAGTTTCCTTTACCCTCTCTCGATGCCACCTTCTTAGAATTAGATATTAATAAAATTAATATCTAGAATTAGATATTAATAAAAACACTGATACAATTAATATACCACATATGGGGGCCCAACTGATCACATTTTCAAAGATAAGACCTGTGGTTAAAAGACAAAGTTTTAAAACATCAAAATTGGTATATTGGTCCATTATTCGGCCTCTAGAAATGCTCAACAAGTCTCTAAAATGCTCATTAGCTTAGATTTCCAACAACTATTGTCCAAAGTTAAAAATCCACCATCAAAAAATTCAAGCAGACTTTACATTATGTATGGAGAAACATTTTTTTTAAAAAAAATCTCAGGCTACCACTTCCTTAATCAGGAAAAACATATTTGCATATGTTTTTATGAGTATATTATTTGTATCTCTTCAGGCAGTTCATGTCAAAGAAAATTCAGTTTCCTGGAATTAAGGAATTGTATTCTTATTTTTTTTTAATTTTAAACTACTTTTTAAATTAGTGATAATATTTTCATAAAGATAACCCGCCAATGCAACAGACTCAAGAAAAATACATGCATATACACCACAATTACCTTTTGCCTGGTCCGAAGTCCTCACCTTCAGGCATTTCTGCCCTTTAAAAATAATACCAGTGGAGAAGGCTGTGGCACCTGCTCCCCACGGCTAATGAGGCCAAACAATAGTTTCTTTTCCACTCTAAAGTTGAATATCAGGAGAGGAAAAAACGCAGTAGTGAAGTTCTTTCCTTTTTGGGAAAAAAAGCGCTCCTCCCTTACTCAGAAAATTGGTGTTTACAAACTTCCAAGGCGTCTGCCTGCCTTGAATGAAGCTAGGAGCGGGGTTATTATGACTGCCCCCTTCTAAAAATAAATAGGTCACCTCTTACTCCCAGTACCGTGACAGGCAGCTGGGAGCAAGCGCTGCCCAGCTTCCAGCATTCTCTCTGCAGTCGTGTGAGAAGGTGCCCTGCCCAGCTGGTAACCTTTATTGGATGACTTCACCGAGGCCTGCCTGCCCTTTCCCGCTCCTTTTTCAACCCCTGGCATGAGCACGGGGAGGCAGACACTTCGCCCTGGGCTATCAAATCTCCTCTTTTGAGTCACCGGAGGGAGCTGCAGAGCAGAGAGCACAACGGGCTGTACCTGCGAGGGCTGAGCTTGTTTGTTCTGAGAATGTCCAGCCACTCAGCAAAAAGACCCTTTCTCAAAACAGTGAAACACAAAGGCCAGCATGCAATTGGGATTTTGTTTTGCAAGAAACTCTTTCTTCAGATCATCTAGATTTCTCAACTCAGAATAAGCAAAGCATATACACAAATGTTGAGTCCATGTGTTCATGTGGGCAAAATGCTTTCTCCCCCCCAGACGTCCCTGTCACTGGGCTGTGGGTTTTCACAGCTTACCTCATCACTGCCTAGGAGTTACCCATGACCAGCTACCCTCACTTCCCGACTGTTTTAAGACAAAAATCGCTTCACATCTTGCTTTCAAAAAGACCCAGAGATGGCTGGGTGCGGTGGCTCACACCTGTAATCCCAGCACTTTCAGAGGTCAGGGTGGGAGGATACTTGAGGTCAGAAGTTCGAGACCAGCCCGAGCAACATAGTGAGACCCTGTCTCCACAAAAAATAAAATAAAATAATTAGCTGGGCATGGGGCATGGTGGTGTGTGCCAGTAGTCCCAGCTACTGGGAGGATCACTTGAGCCCAGGAGTTTGAGGCTGTGGTGAGCTAGAGAACAGAGACCTTGTCTCAAAAAAAAAAAAAAGGCCCAGAGAAATACTACTGGGATTCTTTTAGGAATATACCCTAAAAGCTTCGGATAAAAAGTTTAAATCATCTTTTTTCCCTGACTGGGAATATTAGAGAAAGCAGGATCTAATTATTAAGAAGCAATACCCTGTTAAAAATATGGGTGTTTCATTGATATGTTACAGCTAATCCTAGCAAGATATCTGTATTTCATATTTTACGTTTTATATTTGTCAAAGTGATTTTCTACAGCATTAAAGAGAGTAAAATGTCAAAACAATATAGTCATCTGCTTTCTTTTGCATAACATTAGCTATTCTGTGATGTGTGCTTGTCACAATTAGAAACAATTCTTTAAAGGATTAAATATTTCACACGAGACCTAACATCTTAGACACTTCAAAGTCTTAGGTTAAGCAGGTCCAGTTCCTCAGACACACAACTCAAGTACCAGGAACTTGAAAGAAAATAGTCATAAGCTGAGTTCTGAAGATCAGGGTGTGCAGAAACCTCTTAGAAGCCAAGAAATGTATAGTATTGTTGGAAATTCCAGGTTTTTAACACATTGATGGCCATACCCGAAAAAAAAAATTCCTGGGTGTTTTATTACAAAAATAGAATAAAAATTTTGAAAACAAAACAGTCCTTTTGAATTTAATGAAAAATTAGGGTGTTTTATTATTTTCTGTGCATGAGTTATATATATACCCCTTGAAACACAGTTCATAAAGGTAAAAGATGCATGAGTTACATTTGCTTCACGAGGCCCCAGGCTCAAAACTAGCATGAGTTAAATACAGCTCACATGGCAGTTAAGGTGTTAAAGAACTGAGAAGCTGAAATATACTGAAAATACTATCAGTGATAATATTTCAGCATTTGTATTAAACCTTATCAGCACAAAAGACTAATTCTCTTGTCTAATTCTTAGTTCTACCATTCTAGCCCATGAATTTTACCTTTTCTTCCTCCTAAACTCCTAGTTCACTATTTCTTGACTATCTGAATGCGACTATTGTTAAACATAGCTGCTGGTTACGACAAAGCCAAATATATCCCTGAAACCTGCCTCTCAATTTTACAGGACATTTACCTGATTAGTGCTGTCACAGATGAATGATCTAGTAGCACCAGGAAATATTTACCAATACAGATGGTCCCCGACTTATGGTTGTTTGACTTACAATGGATCGACTTTACAATGGTGTGAAAGCAAAACACTTTCAGTACAAACTGTACTTCGAATTTTGATCTTTTCCTGCGGCAGCGCCATGCAGTGGCATAATGCCTCTTGATGCCAGGTGGGGGCAGAGTGCCACAGCTCCCGTCAGCCCGTGATCACGAGGGTAAACAAATGATACTCTACAGTGGACTGTGTTGCCAATGGATTTTGCCCACCTGTAAGCCAATCTAAGTGTTCCGAGAGCACGTTTGAGGTGGGCTTGGCTAACCTGTGCTGCTCAGTAGCTTAGTTGTATCAAATGCATTTTCTTTTCTTTTCTTTCTTTTTTTTTTTTTTGAGACACAGTCTTATTCTGTTGCCTGGGCTAGAGTGCCATGGCATCAGCCTAGCTCACAGCAAACTCAATCTCCTGGGCTCAAGAGATCCTACTGCCTCAACCTCCCGAGTAGCTGAGTCTACAGGCATGCGCCCACCATGCCTGGCTAATTTTTTGTATATATATTTTTAGTTGGTCAATTAATTTCTTTCTATTTTTAGTAGAGACGGGGTCTCGCTCAGGCTGGTTTCGAACTCCTGACCTCGAGCAATCCGCCCGCCTCGGCCTCCTACTTTTCTTAATGCCATTTTCCTCTGCTGCATTCCCAGCAGCCATCTTGGGCATGAGGTGACTTGCGCAATGGAGGCCAAGCATGGCGGAGCCCACAGAAGCAGCAGCCTGGGGCCGGCAGGCACTGAGGGCAGTCGACAGCCCTGGACACCTTCTGCCTCTGAACTTGCAGGTAAGAGAGAAATAAAGTAACATTTTGAGACTTCATTACTCACACCCAAACCTAACCCTAACTATTTTCACAAAAAGTATAAGGAACAATCATTAAAACGAAACAAAACCGTTAAAACAAAAAGGACACTAGACTTCCATCTCAGGTCACACGGTGAGATCAGTCTCAATGTGTGAGGAAAAAAGCCAGATGTCCTCTGTTGCCCGATCCTCACTCAGGCCTGTGAGAGGGGTTCCCGATGACAACCAGAAAGTAGTTCATTGAAGTCAGCAGTTTGTTGTTGTTGTTTTTAAAGTGTGTGTTCTAGAGAAGATCCAGAATAGAGAATTAGATTTCAAAGATGATCATTCAGATCAGGAGAACTCAGAGAAAAGACCTTAGCGACACAACAGCTCTGCTCAAAGATGTCAAGGGGCTTCTTCTGAAGAATGATTGAATCTAGTCTACAGGACCACAGAGGGCAGGTCAGAGATAAGAAGAGGGGAAGTTAAAGGAGAGTAAAGGTGTTCAAGGTGTTCGAGCCCAGAATGAACCTGTTCAAGAATTCTGGACGTGACCCCCTCTGGTGCCTCAGGACTGGCCTGGGCGTCTTATGCATTGAGGGGCAGCAGGTTACAGGAACTGTAGACCTGCTCCATCCAAACCCTACCAACAACGAAGTCCCCGGAGATTCCCTAGGAGACAATGGTGGGCCTGGCCCTGCAGCCAGGCCACCACTCTGATGGAAAAGCATGCTGCACAGGTGAGCCCTGAGCTCACCACTGATGGGGATGTGAGGAGGGCAGGGTAGTTCTTTGCTAAACTGACCCGACAGGATTCTTGCTGAAGGCAGGCCAGGGGGACCACACAGCAGGCTGGAATTCTTAGCACCTGTGCTAGTTTTGAGGGCTTCTCAATTTGCAAATTGTTGTTTGCTCAATTAAATTCAAATTAAATTTAATTTGTTAAATTTAATTTGTCTGAAGTTTTTCTTCTAACCAGCTGCACTGTCCAATACGGCAGCTACTGACCACATGGGGCTATTGAACAATATATTTACAATGCATGCACTATTTTACAATGTATGTACTGTCTGCAAATATATTATGTACTTCATAAATCATACACATAAAATTAAAAATTTAGAGATAAAATGAATATAAGTTTTCTCTAAAACAGTAAAAAAATGATAACAACCTAGAGTTCTATCAGTAAGAGGTTAAATAAATTATAGTTCAATGAGATCCTATGCTGCAATTAAAAAGAATAAGATTGTTATAAAAGTCTTTTCCTAATATAGTTGTAAAAAGAGAGAGAAAGAGAACAGAAAGCAAAATGTATCCCATTCATGTGAAAATATACATTTGTACATTGAAGAAAATATCTGGAAAGCCATGTATGAAGATGGAGAGGCAAAGGAGGAGGACAAAGGGAGAAGGAGGAGGAGGGAGCGGGGAGAAGAGAAAAGAAAGAAAAGAAAAAGAAGAAGGTTTCAAAGGACCTGCACCAAAGTGTTCACTATGGCTTTCTTCTCTGGCTTAGGGAAATAATGATTATTTTTCATTTTACTGTTTGTATTTTTTTAGTTTTCGGCAACAAATACAAATTAGTCTTACTATATGAACAACAAAAAAATTACTTTTAAAATATGAAAAAGAAAAAAGATTACTTTTAAACGGAAGGGGGGCACTTTCCGGGGCTGTCCATAAAGGAAAGAAGGAAGGGCCCGCTCTTTCGCTTGGGACCCAGGCCTTCGGGAGCACGTCCCCAGCCGGCCGCTGCAGCTTCAGGACTTTTGCTCAGGCCCGACCAGTAAGAGTCCCTGCCTTTGAGGAGCTGACTGGTGAAAGACATGCACTGGTTGAAAGAGTGAGAGAAAGGAAACCAAAGCAAGCTCTCCGCCCACTGGCTCGAGAGTGTAAGAATTCCCCTTCTCCTCCCTTCCGCATCCTACCAAAGACTTCCAATGTCATGGAGACAGAGTGCGCTTCCCACAAAAATTCAGAGTATGTGTTATACACTTTGTGAAAGTGCAATAACGGGACGGAACTAGTAACAAACCAAGTCTATTTCTGGAACAAAGTAGAAGAAGACGTTTTTCAAACCAAAAACCTTAGATCAAACAAATAAACAAAAAAAACCCCAAAATCAAATGATCATATATGTCCAATGGTGTAAATGATGCCACTTGGTAATGATGATCTGGTGGATAAATAATCACTCTGTCAGCCACACTACCGAGGGCGAGACAGTGGCCCCCTCCCTTGATTTCTGGTTGGTGGAATCATACTGACACTTGTCCTAGACCAGTGGCCTTCAAAACAATATAATATCTAAAAGACACAACCGCCAAACCAACAAGAGCTATTCAGGTTTAAACAGGGCAGGACACTGAAGTGTGGCCTCAATCCCTGTAAGAGGCAGCCCCTGACTCAGGTCCTTAGAAACCCAGAGCTGTGCAAGAGACAGCTGGGAACAGTGGCCCGCCTAATCTGGACAGCCAGCAGGAGAAAGAGGGAGACTTCTTCTCAGCCTCTTCCCATAATAATTAGATCAGACTTAACCCAGTTACCCATTTTATCTTCCTACCTTTTTCTAAGCTTAGCACACGAAGTGTTTTCCTCTAAGTTCTTTTCATCCCCAAATAGCCAGCATTCTCAAACCAACACCCTGGGCCTCTGAAGTTGCCCCTGCCCCCAGCTCTCCTGTCGGCCTCTTCCATTCTTTTTCTGGAAACATCACTGTAGTCATGTTATTGTCCAGTCTGCCTGGGACAGTCCCCGGTTGCACCTCTTGTCCTGGTGCGACTATGAACAAATCCCTTTTGCTCTTCTCAGTGTCTC